CACTATTCTTTTGAATAAAGATTTTATTCATTTATTTATGTGTGTATTTTTTTCACTTTACTATCTGGTTTAGTTTATTCTCTACATAACGTTTCCAGAACCTGCTACATCGCGGAAACATTTAGCTATCAGTGTACCTAAATACCACGCTACTAAGTTTTTTGTGTAAGTTTGTGCTTGCCTGATTTCATTTCACTATTATACTGAAATGTATATAAAACTTAATAATTTCATCTTTTAATAAGTTCTTTTACAAATGAAGTCAATAACAAAACTTGTATTATTAACTAAAGGTATTCTTGAAAAACCTTATGAACTGAAACATACTCATTAAGGTATTGTTTGAAATATTTTTCAGTTTTAAATAAGTTCTTTGGAAAAAAAAAATTGAAAATCAAGTCGAGTTAAATGTAGTGTAGTTGGTGGTTTTTGTAAAAAAGTAACATTAATTGTATGACTCACGGAACAGCGACCGACATAAGTGAAATTGAAACTGGTAATACTAAGTTTGTCTTGTATCTAGATGATGTATTTATGAAACGTACAATTGTCTTGTTTTTCCTCAGTTCTGTAATTATGGAATTTCATCAAGTATTGACGGTTTCAAGTATCAGTTATTTAATTTACATTCCACTTGTTTGGTGAGAATATTATGTTTTTAACTAAGTCACGGTGTTCACTTGCCAACTTTTGTTAGCTAGCATACAGAATGATAATGTACTTTACATAATTGTCTTGTTATATTTAGGAAGAAAGTTTTCTTGTATAAATCATGAGTTAATAATAATATTATTAAAAAAGAATTTCATAGAGGTATGGTTATAATGCTATTCAAAGCAGTTTCAGGAAGCTTGCCTGAGAAATAATGTATTAAACAAGAGTTCTGTTGAGTAATACGTTAGTTTCACCAACCATGCTTTTGTCGGTTATATATTAATAATCATATCAGTCTTACATAATCCTAAATGTAAAATTCATCATATCAAAAATTTGGAGTAGTCACACTGAATCTAGCTTTAAAGTGTTAAGTATTTTCTCTTATTGCTTAGAATGTCAGAAAGCAGAAGTAATATTAATATTTTACTTGACTTCTAATTATGAACTCGCGTACCGTCATACTAAAATTACTAGTCTTTAGAATGGTTAGTGATTTCAGAAGAAGAAATTTATTAACCCACTGCCGTACGGCAACGTGTCACTGGTTTCTCTGTTCTATGCGTATATGTTTATATATTCAAATCTATCTCCATTTACGAGCACTATAATACGTTAAAAACAACAATAAAACACGACAGTGTAAAAGTAATTAAAAGATTAATTTGAATTTTCATCATGAGAATAATAATGCCGTGTCTTTCAAAAACAAATCTGGTCTGGAATCTTCCAAAATACGTTAATTTCACAATCTTGATCTTTAAAGGTTAAAGTAATGTAAAATACTTCGCTGATTTTTTTTTTTTTTTGTATGGTATATGAGAAATATTTATTAGTATTATTAGGGCGTAATTTCACATAAAACACGGATTTTTAAAAGTATATACGTGTACTGGACTATATCTCATTTACTTTGGAATAACTTTTTGAAAACTAATTTCATAGTCGCACTGTAAAATACCTCTAAAATATCTAACCTGGCTATTATAATTATGCTTTAAATGTTCACTATATTTAAAATAATAATATGTTGAAAATAATTGGCTGGCCATAGCATAACAGTTACCGTAACCGAACTGTGAATTATGAGTGCTCGTGGTCTGCGTCCCGTTGTTGCAGTGGACGCGCTATAACAGTGACGGTCAAATCCTACTAGACCAGACCAGAACAGTTCAAGAGTTGGCTAACGTGTTGCCTTCCCTCTGGTCTATCAGTTTCAAATTAGGTACGGCTATGTTCAGATAACCCTCTTGTAGCTTTGCACAAAATTGTTTGTTGTCCTATTTCCATAAAATAAAACAAAAATGACAGTTTATCGTAAAACCTGTCTCGCTCTGTTGCCAGCTTTTATTTTAGTTATATACATACACAGTACGATAGAGAACGTTTCAACACCTTTCATTAGTCTCTATTTCTGATTAAAATACTAAAAAAGCAAGTGTCATCGATACACGAACGACATAATGAAGCTAGAGCTTATATATTTTAAACGTGTATTTGTTGATTAGCCATTCATCTGATTGTGCTTACATTCTTCACAAACTAAGTAGTACGTCACACAATTGCCATTGTTTTGTTAAAGTTTCATATACTTAACTACAGCTAAGAACTAGGAAACGATTTCTTAGTTTCTTTAAGATAAACTTACAAAAACAGTATTCGGTTTTACTCTGTAGTGCGACGGAATGCTGACCTATATTTAACTTCATCTGTCTTACAAAAGAAAGTTACATTTTTAAGTTAAATACATCTTTTATGCTCATTTGACAATAAACCAGAATGGTTTCGTTCACCTGTCTAGTACTTAGGTATTTAAAATTTTGTCAAAACAAATAAAGTTAAATGTGGGTTATGGGCTAGCTACCAATTCCACAGGATGTTATATAAACACTGTCACGTGACTATAGCCATTACCAAATGATGAGCTAGCCAGTAGTATTGTACAATTAAACCAGAGATTAAGCTGACTTTAGAATTGTTTAAAGCACCTTATTCATGTTAACAAAACGTAATGTTTCAATAATCATATATAGTTCATGCAAAGTTAAGGGTGTTGTAAAGATTTTCTTTTATAACTCATAGACATGATTCGCACTACAACAGATCTTCCGCAACTTATGCATGAAAGTGATGGGATACTTAGAATACGGGGTTTTGTTGCATAACACTACTTTAATACACCAGATAGTAACTTGGTTTCCACACTCGTTGAAACATTGCCTATACTGGTTACAGACATACTTTGGTGTGTAGGCCTAAATGTTAAGACACCCGACTTGCAGTCCATGAGTCGCGGGTTCGAATCCCACCACCGAACATGTTCGCTCTTTCAGCCGTGGGGGCGTTATAATATAACGGTCAATCTCACTGTTCGTTGGTAAAAAGTAACTCAAAGGTTGACGTTAGGTGGTGTTAACTAGCTGCCTTCCACTTAGTCTGTCGCTTCGAAATTACGGATGGATAGTCGTCGAGTGGCTCTGCGCGAAAATGCCCAAAGAGACTATATTATATAAAGTACCGTATGAACAAAGGAAGAGACATTACTTTTGAAATAGTATAAAACTAGGTTGTATAGTAGTGAATACAAAAACTGATACTAAGTTTAAAAAGAAAACATTTAAAAACACATGAAAATCTGTATTTCATAATACACTGATACATGCAAGAAGAAAGACGGCATTTTTGAGAAATAATGAGCACAGAAAAACGAATCCATAAAGGTTGGTGTCAGAGAATACTTAGGCTCAAATACGATACAATTTCATATTTACGAATAAACTTGAGAAAAGCATTTAATATATTTTCATTTCATAGGAACACAAAAACTTCCGAGAAAATAGGATAGAAAAATCTCAAGTATTTGTTTGTTTATTTTTTGAATTTCACGCAAAGCGACACGAGGGCTATCTGCTCTAGCTAATTTAGCAGTGTAAGACTAGAGGGAAGGCAACTAGTCATCACCACCCACCACCAACTCTGTGGCTACTCTTTTACCAACGAATAGTGGGATTGACCGTCACATTATAACGCCCCCACGGCTGAAAGGGCGAGCATGTTTGGTGTGACGGGGATTCGAACCCGCGACCCTCAGATTGCAAGTCGAGTGCCCTAACCACCTGGCCTAATCTCAAATAAAAACAAAAGCCACTTCTATCTACGGGGCTGGTATATTAAATGTAATTGCTCTGAGAACTCGAGTTCTCCTTCGCTTTGATCTGTAGGAATTGTATATTGAAAGATTGAATGCTATAAATACAGTTAATAGGTAGAAGTTGCTACCTCGTGACAGTAGTTTGTTATAATACAACTCGATCTATACTGTTCTTCTCTTGTTATTTGTTGTTCTTATATCTGGTTTAGGTTTCCTTTGAACTGTAGACTAAAAAGAAGAAAAACCTGCACATTTTCATCTTATTATTATGAATTCTTCTTCTTAGTGTGAAACTAACTTGTCATCACTAACATTTATCTTCGGTACAAGAGTTACAAAAGTTATCAACTTACTTTCTAAAAAAAAAGCACTGTTTTAATTTAATTCCCACACTATTGATGGAGTGTTTATGATTTCTGATGTTTAGATGATGCCCCCCCCCCCAGTGGCACAGCGGTATGTCTGCGGACTTACAACGCTAGAATCCCGATTTCGATACCCGTGGTGGGCAGAGCACAGATAGCCCATTGTGTAGCTTTGTGCTTAATTACAAAAAAAAAATAAAATAAATTAGATGATGGAGCTGTATCATTAACGTGATTCTAATTTAACCAAAATAAACTGCATTTCAAGATTCCGTCTGTTTTGTATCTTTGAGCAAAGACATACACTGGCTATCTGTGCATAGACGTCCCTAATTTCGAACTAACAGAATATATGGAAGGCAGCTAGTCAACAACAACAACCGCCAACTGTTCGGCTACTTTAATCGCACCCACGACCCCAAATGGCAGAGCACTATTTTGAACGCGAGGCACGGACTCTTCGATTCACAGTTCGACACGCTAACCATTTGGTCATGTCCGGCCAAACTGTGTCCAAAATCATATCTACTAAGATGACTCTGGCTAAATCTTAAAATAAAGTTGGTGTGACAGCTGTCTGTTCTCAGAGAAATGATAGTTTCTTCATTCAGTATTTTAAACTTTCTCTTGTTTTGCTATACGTTTAATACTAACCAAGAAGTTGTTACTGTTTTTCATATGATACAATTTCATATTTACGAACAAAAAACAAACTTGAGATAAACGTTTAATGTATTTTCAGTTCATATGAACACAAAACTTTCTGAGAAAATAGGATAAAGAAATATTAAGTAAAAACAAAAGCCACTTTTATAACAGAACTGATAAAACTGACCAATAAAGTGAATCGTGCCAAACAACAGCTTTGAAACCTGGTGGTGAATGCTCGTCTCTATATGAGTAAACTTTAAAAGAAAAATGTGTTTTACATCAGCATACTTTGCAGGCTTTTTTTAACGTTCATCATCTCCTGCTGCTGAGTATCCATTAAAATCTTCTTCTGGAGAAGTGCCATCTCTTTCCGCAGATCAGTCTGAACAGAGGAGTACTGACCAACATGTCTGTTCTCTAGTTCTTCCATACCCTGAAAACGTTCTTTAATTTTAATTCATTATCAAGAACCAATATATATATATATAAAGATGTTCTAAGAACACAGTGACAAAAATATTTAGTTTAGTATAATGGAAGTCTTAAAAAAACGAATTTTTGACTGAATTTCACACGGAAACAAAATCCCTTACGAACTCTACGAATAAATGTGTGTGCAAGAAGGAATAATTTATGAAATATCACACTTTTTTTAATTACATGGAAATCGTTATCTGAAACTGGTGTTCAATATTTGTATCTATACTAGGCACTAAATTCTAAAAAGAAAACTGCTCTGACATACCTGGAAAAATTGCTCGCCTAGCTGTTTCAAAATCTTTAGCCGTTGACTCTGAGAAATCCTCATTTGTTGCTGATGTTTCTGTTGTTGTTGAATCAACTTCTGTTTATATACACAAATGCAAGTGTAAAATTAAAAACACCCATAAACATTCTGTAATGTATCCAGTCAGACCAGATGAGTAACTTTGCACGAAGGTGGACAAAACAAACTTAACATATAGGCATGAACCACACACATAAACCACTGTGTAACAAGGTGGTATTCACATCTTGTTACATTTGAGAAAATGTAATAATACTGCTTAATTCTAATATTTCCACATGTGCAGAGAAAGTCACCAGTATTTAAGGGACACGCTGCCAGAGGGCGCCACAAGTGTCGACCTCAGGCAGTGGGGTAGACAATGGTGTCACCAGTTATAGTTCCATTATCGTGTGTGTCTAAACATGTGATTATGTCATCAAGGTCTAGATTTAATTATGTTATAAATAAAATCATTATTTTAACGAAAAAGTAATATAATACTGTTACACATAACAGTTTTTATCACACATCATTTGAACAAATCAAATATTATAACCAACAATTTACTTTACATACTTTTTGAATTAGCCATTGCTTTATATATAAAACACTTCAATAATTCATCATTTCTATATTTAATCATACTATATACACTTCCTGATAAATGTAAATCACTTACCATCCTGAAAAGGACGCTTGTTTAGCATGTAAACTTACAACATTCTTACTCTTTCACAAATTTGTCTTTATGCTATTCATATAGCTATTATTTTTATTTTTATTGACAAAATATTTCATTTTACACATGTTAATTAGTTTTACAAAGGCAGATGATGTTTCTGTAGGCGGATTGTGTGACTAAAGATAGTGTTTGTATAGATGGATGGTGTTGCTAGGTGGTTTGTGTTACTAAGATTCTATTAGGCAGATTGTCTTACAAAGGCAGATAGTGTTTAACAGGATTGCATAGAGATTTTAACTTATGTTTAATTGCATATGTTTTATAAAAGAGTTTCTACACTTTCGTAGGACCACATGCAGGTTTCAACATTTCTCCTCTTATTTTTCATGTACTTGTGTTTCAACAGGATGATAATGTTAATAACTCTTTTATTGCACACCTGAAAGGATTTTATCATACCTACTGTTTTTTTGTAAATATTGAACAAGACAGCAAATTGTGTTTTCATGATTGAAGATACTGATTACAGTTTTAGTTTCTATATTTGAACATACTTTTTTAACAATGATTGTCCTGAAAAAGATGCGTATTTAAATGTCGTGAACTTTCACTATTTTCTCTTCATTCTATCCATATAACCAGGATATTTATTGTTCTTGACCAATTATGTCACTTAATTTACATACTTTTTACAGTGTTTCTATGGGTCGAAGATGTTATCATTACTAAGGATAGTTTTACTTTAAGTAGACAATGTTCCATAGGACATCTGCTGTTTCACCTTCACAAGTTAATGACGCAACTATTATGACATATGTCAGTTTTTTTTTATCCATTATTTGAATGAGGCAGTTATTACAACCAATAATTTACTTAACATACTTTTATTGTCTTGAAATGGATGCTTATTTAACAATCTACATTTTCATTCTGTGATTTCATTTTGCTTCAACTAAGTATAATAAATGAATGACTAACTGTTTAATTTTACTATTATCTAATATAGCAATACTTATCAATCACTTAAAGTTGTATGCATAAAACTTTCAGATAAACCTCATTCTGATGTCAAGACTGCTGTTTTTTAGGAAATACAAAGGTCATCACATGGTCACACATACAAATGGGGTGGACACTGATATCAAGACAGCTGTTTGTTAGGAGGTTGTCAAGTGGTCACATATTACTGATGATGATATTGAAATGTTTGACCTTGTGTTCACCTAAACCATGTAACACTTTTGTTTCTACAAACCAGAAATTCTATTGCCATTTCTTTCAAAAAGTCATTTAAACTTATTAGTTTTCCAAATAAACATAATCATAAAAGGACTTTTAATTATAAATCAAGTATTTATTTCAAATATTTTGAAACAATGTTTCGGCAATATGAATTATACAATTCAGTGTTCTTATATAAAACTCACATTTCGTCATAGCCCAATATGCTATTATACATACTTAACAAAACTTCAGGTACTATAAACATCACAGTTTATAATTTTATTGGATTAGATTTCATACAGATTATGTTCATTCCAATTCAGTATGTAAAATTTTATATAGTTTATAAATGATAGTGAAAAATCAGTCAAAAGTTCAGTTTAATTATCTCATGTTATAATTTCCAGACTTAGTAAATATAATTAATGGATATGAAAAAAATGTTATGGTAACAACTAAAATCAGTGTTGCTACCTATCAGACAAAATGCTGCATAGCAATAGAACGGGTCATTGACACACATATGACTAATGAACAAAGGTCAGTTCTGAGTTGACCAAGTCTTTTTTGTAATACATAAACAGATCTGGGTTGCTCATCCATATATAAATGACAGTCAAATCAGTCTACATTCACTTTGAATTTGATATTAATGTAATTACTGTATCTAGTTCCAGTAGCAATAACCATGGACTACTCATCTGATATAAGTATGATTTTTGAAAATGTTTCTGAACTAAATGAAACAAGTACTCTTACAGATCTATTTTGATATTGATAATATATACTTATATTCATGTAAGATATAGTCCCACTATCCCTCAGCTATGATGATCTCAATGAATTAGAAAGAAATGTGTGTCTGCAATTATGCTGAATTTACTTCCTTCTGTGGCATCTAACTGTTGAAGAGACTGAAAACTTGGATACTCTAACTACTGTAAGTTGTTTTCATATCATTTATATGGATTAATAAGATTTTCTACACTTATATACAAAATGATCTCATTTACTTCTTTCTTTTACAGACACTCAGCGATAAAGGCATGCAAGCTTATTGAGGGGACAAATGTTCGTCAATGCTTATACAGAATTCGTAGATCTGAATTTAATTTTCTTTACAAAATTTTATTTATTAATACAATTTTCTGTTTTTTTAGGTATCTGTTCAATGTCCCCATAAGGAAGATGGGCATGTTATTTAAAAAAAATCAGAGCTTAAGAGAGTCAAAAAGTATAATGTGACCACTAAAATATACAACATATCATTTAATCCTAAATCATACAGACTTACAAGCATTATGAGCACACTCAATAAGTATATTCTGAATATACTGGATGAGACAACAAATCACCCAAACAACAACGATAAAGTTAAAGTTTGCATTTATTCAAATCATTTGGATAAACCAATAAGTATTTGTTTGCAAAATATGAAACTGTTTTCACCTAAAATGATCTTAACCAACATCAAAAAAGTCAATCAAAGTAAAAAAGACATACTTTTAGATGAGTCTTTCACAACTTAAGTTACTAAGTTGCAATTACCTGTAGGCAACAGTAAATATGTCAAATACCAGCCTTGATCAAGTTTAAAAAAAACATAAGTTATTGCTATCTATAATAATAAAAGAGCCTATGTGTGTGTAACTGCCATAGCTCTAAGACGAAATAACCTAGAAATCTGAAACATTCAACCCATACTAAAGGGATTATGAGAGTGTGCACCTGGATATTATTTTTTAGATTTCACTCAAACAAATGTTGGCCAAATTTATGCCCTATAGCCCTTCCTGAATGTCTGTAGAAAAACATCATATTTTTTCCTAATTCTCACTTACTGAATGAACAGTATGTGGAGGTTTGCTGCCAAATACTATTTTCAATACAAACATGGGAAGAAAAATACAAATCTGAGAATTAAAAAAAAGTTGAATTGAACTAAGTTTGGGAAATGGCAATAAACAATGGGAAGAAAAATATGAATCAGAGATGCTAAATTAAAACTATTTGCTTTTAAAAAGAGTTGGATTGAATTAAGTTTGGGAAATGGAAAAAGACAAATCAATTAAAGAATTGGTGCATTGGAGTAGCTATAGAAGTAACTATGATAATGAAGATGCTTGACTGGTACACTGAAGCCTATGTGAATGTTGAGGAGATATTAGAATCCCACAATGGAACGTGGGTATTTTATGCTAGTAAATAATAATGATGACATTTGCTGTGCTAAGGCTATAGTAATAGAAGAAAATAATAATAATTGATAAAGTAAGGAGGACCTTATCAGATGTTATATCAATATCATGATAATCAAATAGATATGTAAACAAAATAGAGGAGATATTATTAACTTCTTCTGAAGAAAACGATTTAATAATAACAAAGACATCTATGATCAAATGGCAACCAATGCAGTAGAAACCAAGAAAAAGAAATCAAAAGATACCAGGATATGTGCCACGTGTGTTTTAGTGTTAACAAAGACTATTGTGAAATTTGTAATATAATAAATGGCACAATGTTTTGTGAAGAAGGGGGATGCCAACGTTCTATTTGTAATTATTATTTTATTGAATGTCAGTGTAATAAATCCTAATCGAAATGTTTATGCAAACAAAACCTTTGTCCTGTCTTTGATTTAAAAAAAAAGTGTCATTAAATAAACCTATCGCTGCTGCTAGATAAATCAGAACTGGCCGTTATCATATGGCTGTCAATTACCTTAACATACAGCAATTTAAAACTTCGTCTACTATATTGCAACACTGTTTCAAAATGTGTGTTAGTTTTGAAACATTATAACACGAGATATTTTAAATAATAATTAGATTGAATTTGTGACTAAATATTACCGTTAGTGTATAATAATTTTGTTTGTCTGTAGTTAAGCATAAAGCTATGCAATGGGCTATACAGACATACCACTACGTCACTGAGGGTCAGTGTATAATGAAATATTATACATTTCACATGTTTAAGTAGATACTAGGAATTGAATCGATTTTTCATTATATAATTCGTTGTATTGTATAATGAAATCGTAAGTAACAAATATTTCACACGTTTATGTATTTTTTAAGTCTAAGTAATCATAAATATTAAAAGTAGAATTGAATCGATCTTTCATTTTGAAATTATCCTAAATCAACTGACACAGTCTGAACTTTTGACCAACAGCTATATGTTGGGCACAGTATAGAGTAGAAAGTACACAATAATTGTATGCTAACTGAAATGTCCCATCAAATATCATGAATACACATTTAGTGTTTTGTATCACTACGGAAGTATAGAAGCACTTTTGTAAAACATACACAATTAAATGTAAGTTGAAATCTCTATGCAATCCTGTTAAACACTATCTGCCTTTGTAAGACCATCCGCCTAGCAACACCATCTGTCTATACAAACACTATCTTTTGTTACACAATCCACCCACAGAAACACCATCCACATTTGTAAAACTTACGTATGTTAAAAGTATAAAGTAACTTGTATAAATTGAAATAGTTTGTTAAGAACAATACAAATCATAGTTATATGGATAGCATAAAGACAAACTAATGAAACAGTAGGCTTGTTGTAAGCTTGCATGTTAAAGAAGCGTCCTTTTCAGGATGGTAAGTGACTGACATATAAAAGATCAGGAAATGTAAAAAATATGATAGAATATAGAACTAATAAATTTATGTAAAGAAACAGATAATTCTAAAAGTATGTAAAGCAAATTATTGTTCAAATGATGTGTGATAAAAACTGACACGTGTAACAGTGTTATTACTTGTTTCATTAAAATAATTGATTTACTTGTAACATAATTAAATCTAGACATTGATGGCGTAATCACACGTTGAGTCACTCTCTGATGAGGTCATCATGATTGTGGTTACTCTTTGTCTAACTATGACATCATGTGGTCATGTCTGCCTGTTCTGGTGGTCTAGCAATGCGCCCTATGGTGTCACTTAGTGGAACGATGACGTCATCGTCTCTATCCCCTTCCCACCTGAAGTTGAAACATGTGTGGTGCTCTGTGGTGGCATGTTGGGCAACAGCCCCACTAACTACTCTCAACTCCTACATAAACTAGTGAAAACTTACCTGCAGCCGATCTTCTGCATCCTTGGCCTTCTCTAACTCAATTTCTCCTTGCTGTATAAAGTTGCTCATTTGTTTATGGAATTCTTCTATCAATCTTTTGCGTTCTGTAGCTTGTGTTTTTGTCATATCAAAAACTCTTTTAGCTGTTGCCTTCATGGAGTCCTGCAAAATGATTTGTGTAAATACAAATAAAATCGCTTTTACACACACATATATATATGTATATGTCTTATGAAACGAAATTTCAAGTTTTCATAAATTTTAACAATGCATACTATTTTCAACCACTATATACAAAGCTACTGCTTTTGCTTAGTAGAGGTAACACTGTTAGCATCCTTTTGCTTTTTAGTGAAGTATCATTAAAATTTAACTTGGTTCATAAAAGAAATAAACTGATATATTGGTTTCATCGTTAAAAGGAAGTTGTTTCAGTTAATTATCATACAGTGTATTTTACCAACTAATATACCTTCATATACATTGATTATAATTTTGTATCATATATATATATAAATGTTTCTTATAAACAAAGACAGTACCTATACAACCTCTCAAAAAACAACAGGGTCTGTTTCTGTTTTGTACACTAACCAAAAATCAAATTACCAGAACAATCAGTCCTTCATTAATTATCTGATGAAAAATCTTGTCTATATTCCTCCCCTTTTGGTAGTTACAACTAAATGATTTCATTTTGTTTTGACACAGTCTATAAACTATTAATATTTGCTAAAATTGATCTAAACAAAAGACAGAAGATAAACAACAGCCTCACAATTATAAGATAGGAGTAGTTGTAGCAGTGTCATCTGTCTTTACATACAGAACTTAATGAATCACGTAGGCCTAAGCCAAAGATTCAAACCTACACTATTTTATAATTAAAGGTAGAATGACCGTAGATAAAATTAAACATATTTACCTGGCAGAGGGAACAGTAGTACCGAAACTAAATTCACCTGTTGCATAGGCGCAGTTGGCAGAGAGCTTCTGCAGTACATCTATGCCCAGTGGGCCGTTACTAGGACCAGATCAAGTGATGCCATGTGCTGTGGCTTTCGAACCAATGCATGAAACACCCAGTATCCTGTCTGGAAAGCAGGCAGAAGTAGCACAGACTGTAATATATCCATTAGGGGACAAAGTCCCAATGCTGCTCTGTAGTTACAATAGACACAAAAACAAATACTCTGCTCCCAGCCTGAGCTTGCTAGTTGTTGACTGAGGGAACATTCTAGATTCAACTCAATGCCAGTGTCTCTGTAACCTGCCGACTAAATATGTATTTATTGGGCCCTGCAGCTGATTGGAAAGATCAACAATCACTCGCAACAACATAGAAACAGACCATGCGAGTCCTTTTAAACAACTGCCTTGCTGGCTTCCCTGGGGATATAACTAGTGCTGGATGTTATCAGATGGAATTACAATCTTCTTAGAGTATGTGATTCGCTCCAGTAGTGATTGTCAAGTTTTTGCATTGGTCTCTTTCAGATGGATGCTATGACTCGCATTGATGTCTTTCCATTACCAAGGAATAGACAAATATCTGGACGTGCTGGAAGTTATCCAATGGTTTAATATTCTAGAGCTGGTCTCCATCTACTGCCTAGTCAACCTGTATGACGAGAGCAGAACTAAAATTGCTTTCAGCACACTGGATGGTTTGTCTGATTTCTGAATTATGTCCTTTGATCTATGCAAGACTCTTACTATTTTTAAAAGTTAATGGAGCTTACACTTAAAGGGTGTAATTGAAAAATGCCTCGTATATGTGTTCCTGTTACAGTGGATAAGTTAAAACCCGGGAAGTGTGTGCTAATGCATATATCAATTGAATGTCTTGGTAATATAGTGGGTAGAGAAGGTGTCTTGATTGACCCTAAAAATATTACAGTAGTTTGAGACTGGCCCCAACCCATGATGAGACGAAAAGTTTGAAGTTTTCTTGGGTTTACATCACATTATCAGTTAATTTTTCCATAATTACTACATCAACTTTCATTCTCAATAAAGCTGAGGCATCTTTTAGTGGACTGGGGAGTGTGGGCATGTATCTTCTCCTAGAAACATGCTTTAGTATGTGTACCTGGTGTATTCATGTCAGGTTTGTGAGCTTCTATTGCATAATGATGTCACTGATAGCAGAGTTAAACCAGTGCTGTTACAGTTTCAAGACGGTAATGAACAAGTGATCATGTGCACAAGCCATATGCTCATCACTCCTGAATGCCAATACGAAGAAAGAACTGTTTCCAGATGTAATATTCATGAAGTACAACCAACTCGACTTGTAATAAGAAAGTTCATCCTCGAGGTGGATCATACAATACTTAAATGGTTCGTAAACTTTAAAAATCTAAAAGAGATTATCGCACATTGGATGACAAAGCTGCAGAAGTATGATATGGGAGTACAATGCAGAAAGCAGATGAACTGTCTTGCCTCATGTCTATGTCCATTTGTTGAATGTCCTATTCCAGGATGCCAAGTTGAGAAAAATGATATTTGTACTTTCCTGATGTAGAGTCGTCTAGTAGGTAACTTTACATGTGAACAGATGTTGAAACTCTGGGAAGAGCAACTGAGAAACCCAGAACTAGAAGGGGTGCTCCTTTACATACAGCAAGGGGATGCATATCAAAGTGACTAATTACTAACTGTTTTACTGGTCATCACACAAAACAAAACGGTCATTGCCTAAGACCTTTTCACTTTTAATAAACTGATGAGCATATACATATTAATGGAGAAAAAAACTGCACGTGGAAATTTTTTTCCAATATATTTCGATTATTTTATTAATATAACAGTCATTGTTTCCATAAATAGCTTTGTTGTCAGCATACATTTATCGTGAGTATCATTAACTTTACCGTAATTGGTCTTACAATTTCATTTAAACAAACTCTTTACAGTCATTTGGTGATAGCCACCCACTGAGGAACGGCTGAGTGTCATGACTCTTTTTTGCCAGTAAATTATTACTTTATCTGAATGCGTGTAGAGTGAACTGTGTGTGGGAACCTAACTGTGTGATGCGTCTTTTTGAACTCAGAACTAATTAAAAAAGGCAAGGAACTTGTGTAATTTGTTTTCAATCTACATTTATTTCTGAAGCATTTGTTTTGCATGTGTTGTATAGTTTCTACTAGTTTGAGCATGGTACTTAAAAGCTAAAAGTAAAATGTCATCCGCGGTATTTCAAAATCTACCCAAAAATGGATTTCATAAAATAGGCACTTTTTTTATCCATACTTTACTGTAAAAATGTGTCTTAATTTAAGTTTTCTGAAATGTTAGCACATTAATCCTATGTTGCATAATATTTTGCGATTATCTCTGTTCACATATTGACCCGCGAATCAGAAAAAAAGATTGATATTACCTATGTCATAATGATCAGTGGCTTCTCTCTCTCTGCTTTTGCAATAATCTCTGACCATTATTTACTAGTTAACAGAAACATGTATGTGCATAAGGTTTTGCATACATATATGAAACTTTACACAAAGTCATTCATAAGTGTCGTCCAACACAAAATATATCAATCACTGAGAACACAACCAGAGGGCACCTTTTAACGAGAATATAGGAATTTGATCGGGATTTTAAGGTTTTGAGGCACGAATCTAACTGTGGTTACTGGCCTGCAAGGCATTATTTGAAGAAACAGCAAACTTGGCGGTGTCATTAACGCAGGAACAAGAATGTTTCAGTTTTTACATTAAACACTTCACAGGTTGTGGATTTTAGAAGAATATATATGAGAGTAACACATAGGCTCACGCTATATTTGTAGGGAAACTGTGTTTTGCGAGTTTCGTCTCGTAACATTTAAGTCAGAGATAACTGAAATGTAAGAGTGACATGAAATTATCTGTGAAAAGTAAAACTTTATAAACAGTATGACTAAAAATAAGAAGTTTGACCTCGGAGCACCCAATATTTTATTTCTTATGTAAAATAATCTCGATAATACAGATTGAAATATTTCCAAAGAGCACAGTTTTTTGAATATATTATTAACTCTACTTAGTGTGAGCCCAATCAGAACGTCCTAGAAGTGATATGTAACATTTTAAAGTGAAGTGTAGTTATTCACATCCGTGCTGAACTTGAGGCTCAAGAAAGTCACATGGGAGAAGAGACATAGGTGCCAATGAATTTCCACAGTCGGAAATATCAGGTCAGCACTTGTGTAATGTTTGACCTGTATCTATCAGTTGGTAGTGTGGACAGTCTTACTCCTTTCCATTTCTTTACTAATGGGAATGGACCCTGATGGTTCAACAAAAGAAATGTAATGTGTGCTCATCTATGGCAGGACCATCATATAATGTATCCCAACAGGACCTTCTTGCAGCTTAAATACCAATGGTCAATCAAGCAGGAACCTTTCATGAATCCAGCTCCTTTGACAGTGACGCCAGGGGAAATTACCCCCAAGTGGTAGCTGCTACTGTGGCATCACTGGCAGTAGAACCACTAGCTGTGGTGGCAACCTTCACCATGAACACCACGGTGTAGAAATCTTCAACACCATCAGTGGTAGTCCATCCAAAGGCAACAATTGAGAAAATGGCGCTCTGAACAAAGCTCCAGACAGATTAAATAGCAACTCATGCTGCAGCAGATCACAGTACAAAAGTGCTACTATCAGGATCAAGCAATCAGGTGGACAAAGACCTGGGAGCTTTATAACAGCAATGAAGATCGTTTGCTGAACTGCAAAGAGTTGCCAATGTAGTTGGAGTTTTTCAAGAGGTGCATCAACTTCGAGAGGATTTGTGGAAACTCAGAATGCTCATGTAAGAACCAGGAACATCTGCCAGAACACCATACCACATCACAAGTTCATGACTGTGTTGGAGAATTTGCTGTTAGGGCTTCTTTAGGTAAGTAGCTCTATCGCCCTTCCCTTAAATTGTACATTATGGGGAATGTTTTGTATATATATATAAATGTGTGCGTGTAGTGTATTTTGTATAATCTGTATATTTACGTTTACATTTTTTATTTATTTTAGTATTTATGTTTAGGATTAAGGTTTTCATTGTATTGTCTATATATGTAATAATTTATCATGTTTGGGTTAAGATTAAGATTTAAGGGCTTTACGTTCATTTGTGTATCCATAGCTTATAGTGTATTATGGCCATGCTGTATGTACGTATTTATCTATGATAGTATTTTACTTTTATTTTAAGGCTTTAAAAGGCTTATCTTTTGTCTTATGTTCAGGTTATTTCAATGATAAAGGGTATATTCACATGTGTTTTCATTGTATTAAACGGTTTTATTTCACGTAATGTTGCTTTTGTCATTCAAGGGTCTCATTTTATGTGAAAAACTGCTTTTAATGGATAATTTGTGTATCAGTGCTATCACTGTTAAATTGTTTATTTAATTTATGTCATGTTTTTCAATGTTAAAAGGTATTTTGAATTCATGTAATCATCTCTGTATTAGAGGGTGTTGTTACATGTACTTTTTAGTTAAAGGAAGTTTAAAAGTCTATTTGTCTATCTATAGCTAATGTTCGGGTAATCAAGCTCACTGCAGTGGGGGAGACCGGGGCTAGTTGATACAGTGCCTCTAGCTCTTGTTGAGATTAATAGACGGCGATAGTTCACGGACCATCGAACACGTGTTGCGCAAGCTTGGTTTTAATGGCGGCATGAATAAGATCACTAACGAAATAAAAAAGGTGTGTACATTTTCTGTTTTTGCATTCCTAAACTAAAAAAAAAGTCTAGGAAATATCTATTTACTCTTTATATACTGTGTTTTGATACTGTTCTTATTAGTTGTAGACTTCGATAGTTAATACGATAACAATGAGTTATGTTGTTTGACGATGAATTAGTATGGAGACATTGTTATACCCCATGTCGATATGGGGCATGTTGTTACAGCATGTAACAATATGCCCCAAAGTTCATCAAAAAGGTGTAATGCACATGAAATATTAACGAATTACATTTTTTTTACAGATCAATTGCAATAATGGTTCGCACATATATTAGAAAGACTGATAGAGGAACTGTGTCAACAAAGGTGTTTGAGCAGGCGGCTGATAGAGTTATTAATCATAATGAGTCATTAAGAAAAACTGCTTCTGATTTTAATGTAAGTATGATTAATTACAGATTAATAATTTAATTTAAAGGTATTGTTCGTGCTCAGGTTTGTTATTATCTTACAAAAAGCAGTAAACAAAACTATCATGATATATAGGCCTATTATAATTAAAATATCAACAAAAAATGTTTATAAATATTTCTGTACAGATAACTCAATATTATAAAATCAAAATTGCGATTTTTAATATAGCCTATTTAACATGTGTGTGCATCTCGGTCGGGAGTCCAGCGCATTACCACTGTACTGTTCAGACAGCCACTCGCTAACAAATTGTGTCCTGCCCATTTAGCCTACATATAGGCCTATTATAGTGCATTCATAGATATAAAACAATCTAGAATATTTAATATCTATACTTTCAGGTAAATTTCATAACGCTACAAAAATTTGTCAAGAAAAAGCAAAAACGGAATGCAGAACCAAATGGGAAAAAAACTGATCTAAAAGCTGGATACTTAACACCCCGGCAAGTGTTCACAGAAACTCAAGAAAAGTTATTGGCAGATTACATAATCAAGGCATCCAAAAATTTTTATGGACTTTCTCCAAAAGATATCGGACAATTAGCCTACCAATTTGCAAACGAAAATAAAATAACAGCTCCCTTGACTTGGGCAGCAACAGGAATGGCTGGCCAGACTGGTTTACCAAATTTATGAAACGTAATGGATCATTATCAATAAGAACGCCAGAAGCAACGAGTTTCAGCAGGGCGACAAGTTTTAACAAAAGAAATGTAGATATGTTTTTTGACAATTTGTCACGTTTGCAGGAGAAGTTTAATTTCAGTCCATCAGATATCTATAATTTAGATGAGACGGGGGAAACCACCGTTCAGAAACCGGTCCATATAGTAGCCAAAAAAGGTGTAAAGCAAGTGGGGGCGATAACCTCAGGTGAAAGAGGTACACTACACTTGTGACAATTCTTACTGCAGTCAATGCATTAGGAAACAGTGTTCCTTGTATGTTTATTTTCCCACGCGTCCATTTCAAAGATCACTTCCTAAACCGGGGACCAGCTGGATGTATCGGTGGAGCATATCCTTCAGGTTGGATGACCGAATATAATTTTCTAAAATTCATGGAACATTTTGTGAAGACAGTCAAATGTTCTAAAGATCATCCTATTGTTCTTCTCCTTGATAACCATGAGTCACATAGCAGCTTAGATTGTATCAATTTTTGTGTGGAAAATGGTATAAATCTTCTCTCGTTCCTGCCTCACTATTCGCACAGATTACAGCCCCTGGATAGAAGTATATACGGGCCTTTCAAGAAGTATTATAACGCAGCAGCTGACGGTTGGCTAAAGAACAATCCTGGAAAAACAATGTGCATTTATGACATACCAACCTTAGTAAATCAAAGCCTTACACGAGTGCTTACTCCAGAAAATATCAAGAAAGGTTTTCAAGTTTCCAGCATATATCCTTTCGACTGTCACATTTTTTCAGATGATGATTTTCTACCCAGCGACGTAACAGATCGCCCCTTGCCAAATGAAGTATCAACAGCAAACTTGGAGACATCATCTACTAGTGAAGACGTGCTAATGAATAGTTCTCCTACCAACAGGAAAACATCAGACCCGCTGAGGACTCCACAGATGATAAGACCTTTCGGGAAGGCATCCCCACGAAAGACAAAAA